CGGCTGTTCCTTTTTAATCACAGTCATCCAGTTTCTCCGAGTTCTATGTAGTGTTCCAGTAAATCAATCAAACTCAAGGCTTACATAAAGCACAGATAAATCTAATTTAAAAGAAAGAATATTATTATCCAAGCAAGCTTCCTTAAAGCAGGTTGGTAATGTTATAGGCGTGGAAGTAGATAGCTATGGAAAGTATTTTCTCTAATATTGATTACAGAATTTTACATTTGTCTAATGCTCTTTTGGCCAAGCCCTTGGATTTACTCCATTATATTATTCAGTTCTCTATCTTTTCTGATTAATATGAAAACTAACTATAAAATGAGAAATATGCCCCCTAAAATGAAGAAAACCAAATCTCTTGCAACTTGTATACTCAGAGCAAACAATTATTGACATATTGTTATAGATCCTTCTAGTTTGTTTTTCTATAAATGTATTATCATTGGTCATCCATTAACTGCTTGTTTTATCTGTGTGTGTTACCTCGATAACTTCTCTTCACTATGGATTCACCTCATCCCTGTAAGTAGCAATTTCCAGACCTTTCACCTCAAATCTAGGTTCCTCTACACTAATCCACTTGGGACCTCAAAAGCATCTCAACAAGTTCATTATCTTCTTTCCTCCTTCCTGAGTTTTCTAGTTTGAAAACTTGTGACTATTCTTTTTCTCCCTCATACACTATGTTAGTCACCAAATATTGCTGCTTCTGAGAGCAAATCTCCCCTCAGGGTGCCCATCTCATCTGATCCAGTCTCCCACTGTCCAGTCAGCTCACTTCCACCCACTATCCTTAGATTTTTTCACCCGAAATCAAAGAGTTAACGGGGGTCCCCCGAAGGATAAAATCCAAATCCTTAGTGTGACGCACAGGCTCCTCCCACAGGATCCTCCCACATTAGTGACTTCTCTGCAGAGCCTACTGACAGCGGTGACCTGGAACGGGGGCCACCCTCACTGCGGCCTCATGCTCCACCTGCTGGTGCAGAGCAGCATTCTGGGACTGGAATCTAGGGAACACGCAGGTGGGCCCTGTGAGGTCGAGCAAGCCTGCCAGGATGGGTGTGTCAGCTAGAGTCAAAGGTGCAAAGGGACGAGGAGCCCTGGAATTCACAGGCCCACCTAGTAGTTTCATGTCAGCACTGGATTCTCCTACGGAAATGCCCCAGGCCTCCAACCACTGTTATCATTGCCATTCCTGAGAGCAGCTGAAAAGCTGTGATGGCATCTCTTTACTTACCGCTACCAAATAAAAACACTGGATAATTCTGACCCACCTATTGTGCTGTTGCTTCTATACAGATCCCTCCAGAATTCTCACAAAACTCAGACAAATCAAAACAGAATATTTACCATATTAAAAAGATATGTAATGCAGCATCCAGTTAGTATACTATCCCCACAAAAAGAAACCTCAATGGGTAGGACTATCAGCTTCCTTCAGGGAAACTCTACACAACTAAAATGTCTCCACTTTACAATACTTCGTAACCAGCAGCGATTAAAGTAAGGATGAAAAAAGATCATGCAGGGTGGGCAAAAGTGGGTTTACAGCTGTGAGTAAGCAAAACAGAGTTTAACACAGTTTATTTTTGTGTTATTTATTAATTATTGTATTATTTTTCATATGAACAACTGTTAACTTACTTTTGCCCCACCCTGTATTTTAAATTGCACAACTATAAAAACTACACATTTTCAAAAGTCCAATGTGTACAAATCATGTAAACAAAGGTGTAAAATGAAATTTTCCTTAATCACCTTCCTCTTAAGCAATCACTTTCTTTAATCACCTATTGAGAAATAATAATACTCAACACTTTAAATTTTAAGAGGAACTTTATAGTTCACTCAGATGTGTCTTTCAACAGGTTGGCAGTCACAGCTTTTTATAAAATACCAAATGGCTTGAGGTTAGAAGCATCTGTTAAGCTGTGTCATACATGACGTAGTCACATTAGCCCACGGAATGCAAGAAACCACACACTTTCGGCTCTAGCTGCCTCTTCTGCCTCTGCTGAAGCAAAGTCAGCACAGCCTCACTCACTATGACCCCAATGGCAGCCCATTTTGTCTTTGATGAGCACCCTTAGAAAGTTATATTAAACATGGAGACAAGATCTGTCTCCTGGTAACTTTGGCATTGCCCATGCCCAACTTTGGAACCGTCTGAAATAAGACTCTGCTCTAAGACCACATTTTGATTTATGCAGACTTCCAGCAAACATGGAGGCGTAGGTAAACATCCCTTGCCTCTGCACACAACTATAGCAAGAAATACTAGACCACAAAACAAGTAATCACCCAGAACCGTCAGAAAACTGAGCTGTGTGGAAGTCCGACAACCAAGGATTTAAGAAGGCACATTGTTCCAGACGGTAGGAGGGGCAGAAAAAGCGGAGACATGGAGTGGCGCAGAGAGGTGCAGAGACGGAAATGGGCAGTCCCACATCCATGTGTGGTGGATAAAAAAGCAGAAGGATACCTCGGGAGCAAGGGATCCCAGCCTCAGACCAGAACATCCAGCCCAGAGATGCAGCGCCAGGAAGATAACTTCTGGCTGTAAAAACCAGTGGGGGCTGGGGTTCAGAAGAAACTGCAGGATTCAAAAGAGACTCCTATAAAAGGGCCTGCAAAGGACTTAGGGCTCATGCAGACCCACCCTCTCTGGGACCCAGCACCAGTGCAACAGCTGGAAGGGCACCAGTGGCATATGGAAAGAAAATGAAATGTGAGTGATGAGAGACAGCTGCTTCCCAGGAAAAACTCCAGTGGCCAGGTAGAGGCAGTGACCCCTCTGTGAGCCCTCCCCCACATAGAGCAACACAGCAATGACACAGGTTGCCCCACCCTGGTGATTACCTAAGGCTCCACTGCATACAACTTACTGGTTGCGCTTTTCTACAATAGGCCACAGTACTAAGACAGGGAGTCAAAGCAGCTCTACCTAATACACAGAAACAAACATAGGGAGGCTGCCAGAATGAGCAGACAAAGAAATATGGCCCAAATGAAAGAACAGAACAAAACTCCAGAAAAAGAACTAAATGAAATGGAGATAAGCAATCTACCAGATGCACAGTTCAAAACACTGGTTATCAGGATGCTCCAGAAACTCACTGGGCACTTCAACGGCGTAAAAAAGGCCCAGGCAGAAATGAAGGCTGCATTAAGCGAAATTAAAAAAAAATCTGCAGGGAACCAACAGTGGAGGGGATGAAGCTGAAAATCAAATCAACAAGTTGGAACACAAGGAAGGAAAAAACATTCAATCAGAACAGCAGGAAGAAAAAAGAATTTTTTAAAAATGAGGATAGGTTTAGGAACCTCTGGGACAACTTTAAACATTCCAACAAATCATGGGGATGCCAGAAGGAGAAGAGGAAGAGCAAGAAAATGAAAACTTATTTGAAAAAATAATGAAAGAAAACTTCCCTAATTTAGTGAAGGAAATAGACATGCAAGTCCAGGAAGCACAGAGAGTCCCAAACAAGATGGACCCAAAGAGGAACATACCGAGACACAACATAATTAATATGCAAAAGGTGAAAGATAAAGAGAGAATCTCAAAAGCAACAAGAGAAAAGCAGACAATTACCTACGAAGGAGTTTCCATAAGACTGTCAGCTGATTTCTCAAAAGAAACTTTGCAGGCAAGAAGGGACTGGCAAGAAGTATACACAGTGATGAAAAGCAAGGACCTAAAACCTATATTACTCTATCCAGCAAAGTTAATGTTTAAAATTGAGGGGCAGATAAAGTGCTTCCCAGACAGGGTAAACCTAAAGGGGTTCATCATCACCACACCATTATTATATGAAATGCTAAAGGGAATTATATAAGAAAAAGAAGATCAAAATGATGAACATTAAAAAGGCAATACATTTAAAACTATCAACTGAATGCAAAAACAAACTAAGCAAACAAGAACAGGAACAGAATCACAGATATGAAGATCACTGGGAGCGTTATCAGCTGGGAGGGAAAGAGGGGAATTGGGGGGAAGGGTGCAGGGATTAAGAAGTACTAACTGGTAGGTACAAAATAGACAGGGGTATGTTAAGAACCGTATAGGTAATGGAGTAGCCAAAGAACTTATATGTATGACCCAGGGACATGAACTGAGGGGGAATGGCTAGAAGGAATGGTGGTACCAGGTGGAGGGGGGTTGAGGAAAATAAATTGGGACAACTGTCATAGCGTAATCAATAAAATATACTTAAAAGAAGAAAAAAGACCATGTTTCATATATTGTATTGCAACAGGTTTGCAGGCACCCCTTGGTCTTTTCTCTCTTAGTCTAGCAATCCTGAGTGTACTGTAATCTGCACTCCACAATGGGTTCTGACTCACAGTTCCCTTTCTTTGTATTCTCTTTTGAACACGCTCTAGGCCTGCAGGTGACAGGAGCTGTAGGTGTGAGATGGATGATCCAAGGAAAGCAGGATTATTACTTCCATTGTGCTAGATATACCACTTTTGCTAATGCAGTTTCAGATGCAGTGACAATTCTGGGAAACTGTGGAACACTGTAGACTCATTTTAAGATTCCCCTTAAGTAAAACTCCCAACTCATCTCATTTTTTTCTTAATTGACAGATGCTGGGCCATGCCTCCATCTATTTTCTGTGGCCTGGCTGATGCTAAAAAGTATGCACATTTCTATTAACAATTTTATGGTTATGCCTGTATATGATAAAAAATATATTTCTCATACATACAGGGAAAATGACCATTCACTTGACAAATATGTATTAGCACATACCATCTGCTAGGCACTGTGCTCCAAAGCTGGGAGCACAAAGCTGAATGAGACATGCCAACATTATTTCATTTTCATCCCTTTACCAAAGATTATGTATAGAAATCAAGGGTCGCTGGCACACAGTAGCTGCTCAATACACATACTATTATTATGATCAGTTACAAATTATAGTCTTAAAAATTACTACAGATTTTTTAAATGAAAATTGTCCAATAATGCCACCAATACTCACCGATACTATAATATCTCTTTAGTTCTGTACGTCTGATCTCCTTTAACTGATTTTTTCTCTTTTTTTTCTCATCAGTAATACGTTCTTCTTCCACAGCAATGTTGCACTTGTCTTGCTCTAAAATGACTGTATTAACATCTCCTTTTCCAGTATGAGTCCTTGTAGCTATAGCTGAGGCAGTCTCTGCATTTTGTTTGGCTTGTTTTTTCTTTTTCAACCTATAAATGAGGAACAAGGGGGAGAAAACATTGCTAAGAGAAGTTCTATTAGTTTCATGAATCAGGCTTTGAGAAAATTATATAGAAAATACTTCCTTTATATTATTGTTAATAACGTTTTCCTTTTATATTTTCCATTCCTAATCATTTAAAAATTCTTACATGGAGACTTGTGGCCTCTCCTCAATTGTATATCCTTAATGTCTCAGGAAATTAATAGGAAATGCTGTAGACCTGAGGAAAAACTACATTAATCTATAGGCTATAAAATGGTATTTTTTTGGCAAGATGTACAATTATCCAAATATATTGCTGCATTTGGAACACTGCATTTTTCCAAGTGTTTCTGGTTTGCAATGGCACCCTTGGACAGATGGGCAAGCACAACTACAGCAACAAACCCTTTATGCTTGGCTCACATGCAGAATATCAAGATTTGTCAGGGTGCAAGCAGTGCAGGGTTAAGTAATTCTTATCCTCTATTCACATGACAGTGGTACTGAAGAAAGGGCTGCACTTCCTGAGATAGAAAATGCCACAGTGATGACACAGTTATCATTATGATTAGGAATAGCTGATACATTAGTTAGCACATCTGATGCTTTCAGTTTTATACTCCTGAGTCACAGATGTATGAGATGAAGCTTATTATAAATTCAAGAACTCAAAATTGTTCTAATTGATGCATCACTCTAATTAATTTACATGTCACTTTGAACATACTAGTCCTTAAAAATGTATTTATCTTACTAGAATATAAAGAACAAAAGCCGCCCTGGCTGGCATAGCTCAGTGGATTGAGCTCGGGCTGCAAACCAAAGTGTCGCAGGTTCAATTCCCAGTCAGGGTACATGCCTGGGTTGCAGGCCATGACCCCCAGCAACCGCACATTGATGTTTCTCTCTTTCTCTCTATCTCCCTCCCTTCCCTCTCTAAAAATAAATAAATAAAATCTTAAAAAAAAAAAGAACAAAAGCCTTGTCCTCTACTATACATGGCAGTCTGCTCATATGTAAATGTTGATTGATGAGGAAACCTTTTCCCCTTTCTCTCTAGGCACAGGCAGTGGTCTCTTACACGTCTATTTCCTCTGCTCCCTTGAGAGTCTATATAATTTGATGTTGGGTGAGGAAATGTTTGGGGAGAAAAGCAACTGTAGGACAATATAGGAACTAAGGTTTGTTTCTGCACTGCTGTGCTCTGTGATGTTGGGCAAATCGATTTAACAGTCTGGAGAGGCCCCGAGTAGCTACCTAATAGGGTCTTTTATTAGGATCCATTGAGATATGTGTCTACGTATAACACAAATGGAAATAGTAAGATATCTCCTGATATAATCATGTGAGATAAGGCATATAACAGATTCAGCTTTTGAGGTAAAGGTCTCATATTCTAACAAAATATTTCAACTGAGGTGCTATTCACTGAATATGGAGCAACCAAGTTCTTACACTTTCACTGGCTAACAAATGTTTATAGTCTAGAAGAAAAGACAGCTAGGAAAAAAATCATACATGAATATATTCCCCATCTCAAGTTTACCTATCTTTTTAAAAAAACAAAACCACAAATCAAGCAAAACTGGAGAATCATGAAAAGGAATTATAATCTGCAAACACGTTTTATTTTCTATCTTCAGATTTTAAACATTTTTTTTCTGGTAAAACAGTAGGTGGCTTTTTGCAAAGTTGATTCAGATAATGCTTCTAACAAAACAATTTCTCTCTCATTAAGATTTCTGTGTGAGGCTGAAATTAACATGCAGTTACCTAGATACACAGATCAGAAATCTGCTCTTTACTTAGGATGGTCTCTGCAGAACGAATCTCCGTATCCAGAAGATTGTGCTGATCTCGTTCTGATACACTGGCTTATCACAAACAAGCCTGACTAATCAATATTTCAATAACTATGTATGGTGCCAGATGGGTGCTAGAAATATTGAGGGGAACACTCTGTAAAGTATATTAACCCCTGTTCTGTACACCGGAAACTAATACAAAATAATAGTGAATGTAAACTATACTTAAAAAATAAAATTTCAAAAACAAAGTACTTGAGATGAACCTTCCTGCCCACTCGACAAAACTGTCCCTTCCAGGAGAGAAAAGAGGTAACAAAAACTAGCTCTGTGCGGCCTGGGAGAAGTTGCTTTCCAATGTTCTGAAATTTTCCACTTTAAGTTGATTTCAGTGTCCTCATTCACTGTCCCCGCAATTAAACTCACTCAGATCGAGGGCATATACTCTGATGAGCACAGTGTGGGGACATCTCCTTAGGGACTGGTTTTCACACTTGGAAATGAGAAAGCAGGATACATTGCCTTATTCCTTTTCCACACAGACCATTGTTGTCAATGCACAGAACCAAACACCGCTACTTCAGAAAAAAAATGGTAGAATACACCCATCCCAAACTTGTTTAACAGCAAACAGAGTATACTTTAATACTTCACTAATTTTACAATTGGCCACATCTGTTTGGATTAGAGCGTACTCATGAGCTTTGTTTCTCTGCGAGTTATCAGAGTTATCCCCGTGTCTGGAGCCTTCTGGTCCTATAAGTGGGAATCAGAGGTGCGGGGCAGAAGCCCACTCTAAAACCCTTCCTTCAAACATGGAAATGCACTTTCAACACCTTTTCTAAGAGGGGATGACTGCCAGTCTGATGAATGCAGTGTAGTTAACGCTCTTCAAACATTCTGTTAAATTCAGGGCTTTTATCTTTTAGGCCTTCTCTTTTGTTTTCAATTGGGTATCATGGTCGATGTCCTCACAATAGGGTTTTGTGATCCCCAAATTAAGGTAAACTGAAAACAAAAGGTTACACAAGGAAATAAACTCCTCTTCTTTTACTTAAACAATTTTAATGACCCCAAACATACACTTACTAATACTGTGGACTCAAAGAATACTTAGCAAATCATCTTAAACAGATGAGTGATTGAAAATAATGAGACATAGTTCACATTTGACTGCTGTGAATACAAGTAAAAAAACCCTTCATTTTGTTATGCTCTATTTATCTTTTGTTTCTGAAGAGATCAGAATGGCATAAAACAAGTTTCTATTATTCAGTCTCCCCTTGCTATTGTAACCAGGCCCTGTCAATTCTATTCTCTAATTCTCTCCCTTTCAAATTCGCCATCTTTTCTTGAGCTCTGCTCCCATCAGACCATTTAAAGCCATTCATCACCTCTCAACCTGGACTATTTACCATAATATAATTTAGTGTGCTTTGTTTTATTACATAATATATGTTTGTACTAAAAAAGTTTGAAAATGTAGAAGACTGAAAAGAATAAAACAAATCAAATAAAATGCTAAGACTAAGAAGCAATTACTTTTGGGGGGAAATCATGTAAAAGCCAGAAGAGAGGGTAATTAAACTATTCAGACTTTCCTCAAAGGCAGACGAGTAAGCAATAATGGCTCATCATGCTTCTGAACTTCTTAATGGTCCCTTCCCATAAAATTGAAGGGCTTTTTCTGGAATTTCTTGGCTTTGTTACATTAAAATTGTGTGCACTTGTAGGACACATGCATACCTCATTTTTTTTCACTACTAGTATCCCAACTCAGAGGTAGCTGACTGAAGAAATAAATAAGGTGATACTGCTAAAGAAAGCATTTTTCGTAGCTGAATGAACTGGTTTCCTCTGAAGCTTTTTCCTTTACTGGAGGAAATAAGTTCAGGATACAGGCAGCTCTTAAAGCCAGGGCCTTGGGCCAGTTCCTTTCTTTGTCTCTGCAGAGGTCTCTTCTGTTGCTTGGTGACATCCAGGGAAACCCAACACAAAGAGACACCAAATAATGAGACAGGCTTTCATTAGCACTAGAGTGAAAGTTTGAGGAGGGCAGGGAGTTGTCTAGGTTTTGTTTCATGCCATACCCCCAGGACCTATGTATGGTACACTTTAGGCACTCAAAAAATATTTCTTGATGAATGAATGAATAAATAAATGAATGAGGTTATGTTCTAATTTGGTTAAGATCTGCTCTCCTAGTCAGTGTTTTTCTACACATAAGCCATTCTATAGCTTTCACTAATTAGCAACCAGCATGGTCTCAAAAATAAACTTCAATTTCCTTATTGAAGATAAGGAAAAGAAGATACACTGGCCACACATAATTAAAAATGTATTAAAATGTAGACTTCTGTAATTAATACTAAAGTAATGGCTCTATAGGACTGCTTAATTCCACAATTTGAAGTCCTTGTGTTTCCATAAAAAGTGCCATAGACATAAATACCTGGCATGGTGTTGTGCAATATGGTAGCCACTAGCCTGCCACCTGTGGTTTTTAAATTAAACTAAAATTTAATAGAAATGTGAAACTCAGTTCTTCAGTCGCAAGAGCCACACAATTCAAGAGCTCAACAGACTTATTATGTCTTAGTGGGTATTGTACTGGACAACAGACATATAAAACACTGCTACCATCACAGAAAGGACTGGACGTACCAACCTGGAGCTACTGATTCAACAGTTAGCCCTACCAGCAAGAAACTAAAGGGAAAGATGAAGATATCTTTCATTTAATACCTAAAACTTACTGAGTATATGCATAGAATATGCCTATAAGATTATACAGCAAAAAAAACTGTTCCCAGCAAAAGAAAAGTAGTAGCTGGGGGGTGGGGGGAGAGTAAGAAATACTACTATTCATTGTGTTTTTAATTTTTTGGACTTTATACCATGTACAACAATCATATTTTTGCTACGCACTTTACAAATGTTATCCTATCCTCAAAAAGCCCAACAAGGTAGGCAATCTTATCCCCTTGTGAAGATAAGGAAAGGAAGGCTGAAAAGAATTAAGGCCATTTCCTAAGATCGTAGGGCGTTGTTAAGTTGTAGAGCAGGACTTCACACACACAGGGTTCGAGCCAATGGCCACAGGGCCTCCCGTGATCTCTCCTGAAAGTGTCCCAAGGCAGACATGCATCGCTTGATTTTGAAATAAAATCCAGTGAGCTTTGGAAATTCCAGGAACTAT